TTCTGACTACTATGAGGACACATTCCATTCATTTGGGCAAAATAATAAAACTTTTTTTTTTTTGAGATAGTCTTTGCTCCGTTACCAGGCTAGGTGGCAGTGCATGACCACAGCCTGCGAGCCTTTGACCCTGCGGCTCAAAGCAATCCTCACTGGCCTCAGACTCCACAAGTAGTTGTGTAGAGGGTTGCCCATCACACCCAGCTTAATATATTTTTTCTTTAATTTTTTTTTTTCATGGTTAAGAGGAGGTCTTGCCCGTGTTGCCCAAGCTGGTGTGAACTTCCTAGGCTTAAGCCAATCCTCCTGGCCTTGGGCCTCCCAAAGTGTGTGGATACAGGCATGAGCCACTGGTGCCTTGGCCTAGTTGAAAACTCTTGCTCCAGCTAGAAATTGTGCAAGGTACTGCGTGGCAACAAAGGCAAATGAACATGCGAGTTCTTGGCCCCTTGAGGAGTTCATTTTAGTGGAAGGAAACAGTGATATAATTGCATTAAGAATACAGTGATATGAAAAGTGTTATTCAGCTGATGTTAATGACCATGAATAATTTACTCTGCAGGAGAAGATTTTACAGGAGACAATGGAGCTAAGTTTGTTTTCAACATTGCAAGAAATTGCAGAACAGAAAAAATCAAGTCAAAGCAACCAACCAACTTTTAAAAAATGTTCAAAATGTTTGAAAGGGCATTTCATCAAAAAAGATATTCAAATCATCAATAAACATATAAAAATAGAGCCAATCTCATTAGTCAGCACGGAGTATAATTTAAATCCAACGAATAAAACTATATGCTCACTAAATGCTAAGATTGAACACACTAACAACACAAACTGCTACCAAGATTTGAATTAAGGGACACTCCTATATACTGTTACAAAAAACCAAAAAACGCTATAACCACTTAGGAAAAGCATTTAGCAGTATTTATAAATACGAACATTTCTACAACCCAACATTTGCCTTCCTAGGGACATAGCTAATAAAACTGCGTATATATTTAACCCAAAGATGAGTAAAATATGTTCACAATGCACTCTTTACAATAGCCTAAAACTGAAAAATTCAAATGTCTATCAATGGCAGACTGGATAAATTAACTGTAGTATATCCACACAATGGGAATCGTATGTAACAAGAAGAATGAACAAAGTACTGCTATACATAACATAAACATCAACTTTATAGTTGAGCAAAAGAAAACAGACACAAGTAAATCGTAGCATTATTCCATTTATGTAAAGTTCAAAAACTGAAAAAGCTAATTGATAACAATAGAAGTCCTATGAGTGGTTACTTCTGGGAAGAGAAAAAGCAAGAGGTTTTGGGGAATGCTAGTGTTCTTTTTTATGTCTGGTGGTTACACATAAAAAGTTGCAAGTGTGTTCATTTTTTGAAAATTCACTAAACTCTACACTTATGATTTGTGCAGACTTCTGTCAGTTATAATTTAATAAAATTCACATTAAACATTTTTGTAGTAATTTAATGAGAATGGAGGAAGCATGTCATTTTCTCAGATGGGACATGGCTTTTTCTAGCATTATGTTGAAAGGAAACTTTTTTCTTGCTGTATTTTGTTTTCTCTTGGACATGTTTTAAAAAACAAATCTTGAAGTGATTTGCCTTAAAAAAGAGAGAGATTATCACACAAGTGCAGAAAATAGATGATGAGGACTAAATTGTGTGGAGAGAGGGACATAAGGCCGACTAGAAGCAATGTTTCAGAGATAGAAATCACAGGATTTGAAGTTCAATTATCTGTAGGATGATGGAAGAGGAAGATAAAAGTCACCCTAAAGTTTCTAGCTTGATAGATTTGAATGATTATGCAGTTGGATCTAATGAGTCTTTTTAAAAAAAATGTTGGACATGTTTGTGGTATTAGAGAGTTATCTGAATGGACATATTTTTATGCAAATTGAAAATATAGGTCTGGAACTTAGTGAAAAGAATAAGAGTAGAAATATAAATCTGGGTCTCTTCAAATGTGTTTTATGTCTGGAATATACATTTTATGGCTAAAGCCTTGAAAATAGATGTAATACCCACTTCATTATCCTGGGGAAATGTGCAGTATAAAGAAAGAGGAGAATAACTGACAGAGGTGGAAACTGAAGTGAAAAAGGAGATTTCAAGCAAGGAGCCCATTTGCAATCCATCTTAACTACTTATATTTTAAGTATTCCCAACATGTCTCAATATTCAGTGGACCTAGGTAATTATTACACTCTCTTGTTGTCCACTGCTATTTATTTTCTAAATATAAAAATTATTAAAAGCATTACAAATAGTACCTGGTGCTCCACAAAACTTAATTTATCACTAACTTCTGAACTGTAGTGTTACCAGAGAACAGTATTATATTAAATCCATTATAATTATAGTTATTTCAGGAATATTTTACAACTTAAGTAAAACTGATGTTAACTTATATTTACAGCCTCACAAGGGAATTTCAGAGGTCTGAATCAGATATTTGTAATAATTTCCTGAAAATGGATATTTTTTAGAAGAACCACATTTTAAACCAGCATTGATCACGAAATATTTCCAGGTTTGAACAAGATGACCAACACATAATTATAAAATTATCTTGGTTGCTAAAAATATCATAGTTATTTTTAATTCTAGTGATCCATTTCAATTTACTGGCAATCACAACACATCCTCTGAATCCATACTAATAATTCCTGGAGTGAGAGAAACACATTGTACTCCCTTTTGGTAAATCTATTCTTGTGACTGACTATTGTTATGTAGCCAATCACCCCCAAAACTTAGTAGCTTAAAACAGTACTGTAAACTAGTTCAACCATTGTGGAAAATAGTATGGCGATTCCTCAAGGATCTAGAACTAGAAGTACCATATGACCCAGCCATCCCATTACTGGGTATATACCCAAAGGATTATAAATCATGCTGCTATAAAGACACATGCACACGTATGTTCATTGCAGCGCTATTCACAATAGCAAAGACTTGGAATCAACCCAAATGTCCATCAGTGACAGACTGGATTAAGAAAATGTGGCACATATACACCATGGAATACTATGCAGCCATAAAAAAGGATGAGATTTTGTCCTTTGTAGGATCATGGATGTAGCTGGAAACCATCATTCTCAGCAAACTATCTCAAGAATAGAAAACCAAATACCATATGTTCTCACTCACAGGTGGGAATTGAACAATGAGATCACTTGGACACAGGAAGAGGAACATCACACACCGGGCCCTATTGTGGGGAGGGGGGAGGGAGGAGGGATGGCATTAGGAGATATACCTAATGTAAATGATGAGTTAATGGGTGCAGCACACCAACATGGCTCGTGTATACATATGTAACAAACCTGTACATTGTGCACATGTACCCTAGAACTTAAAGTATAATAAAAATTTTTTTTTAAAAGTCCTTATTTGATTATATGACACAGTCTAGGGGTTAGGAATGCTGGCAGTGCCCAGCAGGGCAATTCTTCTGCTCCCTGTGGCATTAACTGAGGCACATTAGTGGAATTCAGCTAGTGGTTGGACTACATAGAGGGCTAAAGAAGATGTCACTCACATGTTTGGCATCTTGGCAGGGGTGGCTCGAGGTATGGGTTCAATGTGACCAGCAACTGAAGCAGCTGCAAGTGACCCTTCTCTCCATCATGGTGGTCTTAGAGTAATCAGACTTCTTACACGGTGTTTCAGGGTTCCTGGAGACAGCATTCTTAGAGAAAAGAAGGGAACATTGCTAATTTCTTAAGACCTGAGCCTGAGCCAGTACAGCATTGTTTTGGCAATTATTATTTTGTTAAACAGTCACAGAAACTATTCACATTCGAGAAGAAGGGTATAGATCCTAACTCTTGATGGGAGGAATATCAAATAATTTGAAGTTTTCTTTAATTCACTACGCAAATGTAATAATAATTCATTTATGATACTGTTTACTAAATATTTTGTGTATACCAACATAGATTTTAAAAATAAAAGCAAACCTAAAAATAGTCCAGTTTACTAAAGTACATTAATTAGTCTCTTTTTAAAAAGACAGATGATGTATACAGATCTGAACCTGGTAATATCTGGAATGAAAATTTCAGAATAAAAATGAAATAGAGAATTCTGAATATTTATAGATGGTATTAAATAAGAGATATGGTGAAAGCAGAGAAAGACTGAAAATTAACTCAATTATTTTTGATGCCTTGATTTACTGGAAATAAATTTAGACTCTTCCACTTAGAGAATAAATATGATCCTTGATTCTTTTCTCTAGTAACCATTGAAAGTAACACATATTAAAATTTTTCTACATGGTTACATTTCCATGTATTTGGTTTTAATGCATAAATGTCAGGAAAAAGAAACTTACTACAATTGTGTTCCTCTTGTATGCTAGGTTTTATGTTAAGTGCACTATTTATATTACTAATTTAATCCTCAAACTCACCTTTGAGTTAGACATTGTAACCCTCATTTTATGGATGAGGAGACTGCGGTTCAAATAAGTTATATATAAATACACACATACAACTATATACATGCTCTGATACTATATATAAAGTATGTTGCATTATGTGTATATATAAAATACACGTTCATAATAGGTATATATGTGTGTTTATAATACACAATATGCACATATTATATATATTTATCATTAGTCACATAATATATATAGTATATATTATAATGTTATATATGTTCATATGTATTTTGCGGTGCAGGTACATTTTTCAGACCATGAGCCCTCTTTCTGTTTCTTAGGCTAGGAATTAAGTACCATGGCAGTCTGTGGGATGTAGCATCCTGCTTCGTATACGGCAGCATGCCAAGATAGCTTTTAAATTATGACATGTTCTTATGTACACTGCAGGTAAGCTTTCTGAATATGTCTCTTCTTTAAGCATAAACAAAATTGAATGCATATTAATTATGATCAGCAGTCTTCGCTGTAGATATGACAGATAGAATATTTTCAAACTGGGGTTTCAAAACAAAATCTGTACCACACCATAGTTTGAGCTCCAATAAGCATTGTTTTTCTCCAGGCGATCAACCACACTGAGCTGGCAGCTAAGAAAAGTGGAGAAGATCACCATGACGTGACTGGGCAGGGCAGGACTAGTGCTGGCGGGATGCACAGGTCTGGTTTTCAATCATCTTAATAGTACCCTACTGAGCCAGAGCACAAAGAACCTGATTGGTATTTGTCTGACGCTGATTAGAGATATTTGTGCAAGACCTTCATTTGCATTAATCTTTAGAAGTGACCTGCCTAAAAGGAGAGGTTGGGGATTCTGGATTAAGACATGCTTCTATATGTTGGGAAAGAATGTCATGGAAAATAAAAAAGAGATAGGTTCACTTCTCCCCTTACTATAGAAATGCTCCAAAGACTGTAAAAATTTACAGATAAGAATGAAATTTTGCTTCATTACTTATTTCAATTGGATAGAAGCCAAGTTGAGACTAAGAAATACAAACTATTTCTCTGTACAGACAGCAGTCTTCTGAGAACATCCACAGAAGAAAGGATGGGTCTGGATCCTAGTCACTAGATTGTGAACCCCTTTTTTTTTTTTTTTTGAGACGGAGTCTCGCTTTGTCGCCCAGGCTGGGGTGCAGTGGCTGGATCTCAGCTCACTGCAAGCTCCGCCTCCCGGGTTTACGCCATTCTCCTGCCTCAGCCTCCTGAGTAGCTGCGACTACAGGCGCCCGCCACCTCGCCCAGCTAGTTTTTTGTATTTTTTTTAGTAGAGACAGGGTTTCACCGTGTTAGCCAGGATGGTCTCAATCTCCTGATCTCGTGATCCGCCCGTCTCGGCCTCCCAAGATTGTGAACTCTTAACTAACTGAAACAATCTAAATTCATTTTACATGACACAAAAGTCATAGTTTGGGTTCCCTCCAGAAGCATACACTTACACAAGGATTCAGATCTACAGTGAGTTGAATGGCATTCTCCTCCAAAAGACACATCCACTCAGAACCTGTGAATGTGACCTTATTTGGAAAAAGAGCCTTTGAGATGTAATTAAGCTAAGGTTCTTGAAACGAGATCATCCTTAATTAGGGGATCCTAAGTTCAATGACAATTTCCCTTAGAAAATGGGGACAGAAGGATCTTTGACTATAGGAGAGGAGAAGGCAATGTGATGATGAAAGCAGAGACTGAAGTTATCCTGGCCCAAGCCAAGCTATCTGTGAAGGCACTAGCAGCTGGAAGAGGTAAGCAAGGATGCTCCTGTAAAGCTGGCAAAAGGATTTCTGGCCTCTAGAACTGTAGGAGAATACATTTTTGTTGTGTCAATTTATCATGGCCACCACAGAAAACTAAAGTAAGTTCCAAGTAGTTTACCAATAAGGTAAAGGAAAACAGGGGTTGGGGAATGGGAAAGTGGTACAGCAATGAGGAGGCAAGCAATAGAGATGGTTATCTAGCCAGCAATGTAAGAAGATGGATGCTGGGGAAAGGCTGGGAGATGGCATAAAATGCATGCCTCGGAGTTAATGGATCTGAGGAGAAGGGAACTGGGGAATTTATACCCTTATTCCAGTTAGCCATTGACTGAGGGCTATTCTCTGGGGGTGTTATTTCTCCAGAACTTTCAGCTTTTTGTATGAACAGCAAAGTCCACTCCAGCAGCAAGAGAGTGAGCCCACAAAAAGAAGCACAGGTACATCAGTTGGAGATCTTGCAATGGTGGTATGTTTCATTAATAACTCTGTTACCTTGGGTGAAGTACGGTAAGGCCATGCATAGATCAAGAGAGGCTAATTGGAAAGAGTTGTAGTTTTATGCCCACACAATTTTCTTGGCAGAACACAGACACCCCCCAACCTCACTACCTCTAACAAAAGACCACTCAGGGGAAGCACCAGGGTCAGTCCTGAGGCAGAAGGAGAAAGCAGAACTGTGGGCAAGCATGCTGGTTTCCAAGGGAAGGAATGGGCAAGAGAGGGTAACTGAGTTTAGGATTGGCTACTCTGAATAAGTTCAGCAAGCACTGGTGCACAGGGGCTGTCTTTATTGTCTGGTACCTGGCCCTGAGGTGCTTAGGAAAAGGGGATCATGGGCTGAGTATGAGAATTCCATAATGGAGGTGACTGGGGTATAGACTTAATTTGGCTGATCAAGAAGACGAATTCACTGACTTTTATCCAGAACCTCAGAACTGAGTAAAGATGGCATTTAAAAAACCATACTAAAAATTATACAGGTCTGATGAAAGAAATCAAAGAATAAATAAATGGAGAGATATTTCATGCTCATGAATAGGAAGACTCATGAGCCAGGTCATTTTTTCCCCACTTGGTTTATAAATTCAACGCAATCCCAATCGAAATCCCAGCAAGTTATTTTGTGAATATCAATAAATTGATTCTAAAGTTTATATATATAGGCAAAAGACCCAGAATACACAATATTGAAGGAGAAGAACAAAGTTGGAAGACTGACACTACCTGGTTTCAAGATTGACTATAAAACTACAGTAATCAAGACAGTGTGACACTGGTAAAAGAATAGACAAATAGATCGATGGAGAAGAGAGAGCCCAGAAATAGACTCACATAAATTTAGGCAACTGATCTTTGAAAAGGGAGCAAAAGCAATACAATAGAGAAGAGGTGATCTTTTCAACAAATGGTGCTGGAAGAAGTGTACAATAACATGCAAAAAATAAATGAATCTAGGCACAAACCTTCAACCTTCACAAAAATAAACTTGAAACAGATCACCAACTTAAATGTAAAATGCAAAACTCTAAAACTTCTAGAAGATAACATAGGAGAAAATCTAGGTGACCTTAGTATTGGGGATAACTTTCAAGATACGACACCAAAGTCACAATCCATGAAATAAAGAATTGATAAGCTTGAAATCATTAATATTAAAAATTCTGGAGATTATGGTACAGGAGGGCACTCTACACTCCACACGCAGGGAGATTCTCCAGGCCTCTGGAGCACCTACTCTCCTGGATTAGGGGTTTAGGCTGTCCCGCTCCCCCTGTGCAAGAACTTGGAGCTGAGGGAGTTTCCCAGCTTCACATCTAGGCATGCTTCTGAGTGCTTTGTGGATGCCTACTGAATTATCCCTTAGAGCTGGTGCTGATGCTTGTGCCTGCCATTAGGGGACCTGTAGGCAGACCTGCCTTACATGACCCCATCAATTTTGCCCCTTGTCTCCTCAGGGCTGGGCAGAGAGCTCAGGCCATGTGCACTTCATGGATCAGTCCATTGTCTGAAGTAACAGAGAGCGTCTCCCAGTAAACAAGGATCAGGTGTATATCCAGCCACAATGGCCACAGCAAGCACTTACTCTTAAGTGCCATTTACTGGCTTACAGGTCATACAACACAGCCCAATAAAGAACCTGCCAATAGAAGTACATATGTCTATAGAAGCAAAACCAAAAGACATTACCCAGCATTCTCTACAGTCTCAGCCCTTAGGGAGGAAGGGAAAGAGAAAGGAAAAGAAAAAATTATAAAAAGAAATAAAAGAGGAAGAAAAAAGAACAATAACATTATGTGGAAATAAAGAAAAAGAAAATTTCCTATGTGCACAAAAATAATTACAAAAACTAGAAGTGTCAGTGTCTCCAGATGAGAAGGTACCAGTGCAAAAATTATGGCACTATGAAAAATCTGAATGTAGTGACACCACCAAAAGATCACATTTGCTATCCAGCAATGCTCCCTAACCAAAATGGAAACT